CACTTTGTCAAAACAGGCAACGGACAGTGAGGAGGATGCAAGAGGACGGAAAAGAAAGGGGCTTCAGATTGGAACAGCAAGCCTTTCTCATCCCACAAAACAGAAGAGAGATGTCCAGCCAAGGGGGCATCCACCTCAAGACGCCTCCCCAGCTGAAGAGCCCCTGTGTCTGTGGGGAAAACTAGTGTTAGGGGAACCAAGCAAAGCCGGGAGCAGCACCCCTGCTCCCAGGGTCTGCCTGGCCTTCTGCTGCCCATGCCCCACCGTCCTCCCTCACGCCCTCCCCCAGAAAACCCCTGCAGTGAACCACCCCTCAGCCTGGCGCACTGGAGTCCAGCTCAAAGCCTTATCCTGAGCCCGCAGCCTTTGAATCTCTTTATTCTGATTCAATTACATACACAATATGAGCTTTGCAAACAGAAAATTACACGCTGCAATAATTGAATTCTTTCCTGGACTTGAAGCTTGCTGGGCTGTGGTGTGGAGCGGTTCCCAGATACTCAGCCTTGCCCCAGGGCCCCACCTTCACTTAGCAAAATAATAACTAATATTTAAACACATTTTTATAGTTAATGGTGCTTCTACCCCCACTGTCTCCTTTGAATTTGACAACTAGGAGGAGTAAGCTATTATAGACCACTATTGTTCTTATTATTTTATTCCCTTTTTACAAATGGGGAAACCAAGGCACAGAGCAATTACAAGATATGCTCAATGCAACCGAACAGATCACTGTGGCAGAACCAAGATTCAAAGCCAGGTTTTCTGAGACAAATTTCATGTTTCTTCCAAATCCAACCTGACTCTGATTTCCTGCTCCCCCGCCCCCCATTACCCCATGGACCCGGCTCTCCTGGTCCCATGTGTTCGTGGAAAAGAGGATGATTACTTTCCCTGCCTCCCACAAGTTTAGGCATAAGTGTTACCTCCAGAACCATGGACATAATCACCCTGTCTTTCACCATCAACCAAAGTCACTGTTTCAAAACCTGCTAAAGAACAGCGAATAAAGATTATCGTTGGAAACCCTCAAGAGCACGATTTTCTTCCCATTGGTCTACTAAACCCTTTCCCTCCAGGGTCAACAAGGCAACTACATTCATTTCATTTTCCCTGCCCTTACTCTGAAGTAAAGCCAGACAGACTCATTCATTAGACATGCGCAGTAAGTATGGTGGCGATTTTGGTCACCCTGGTCTGCGTTCCCACAATGAATGTTTACTGAGCATCTACTATATGCCAGGCATTTGTTAATCTATGTGGGTCCTCCCAATAATGTAATGAAATAGCCATTACTATTTCTATTTTAGAGATTAGGAACTGGGGCTTAAAGCAGCAAAACGAACAAACAAACCAACAAAACCCCAAAACCAAAAACTCCCCGAGGCTCGACTTCCAGCAGAGACTAGAACTCAGGCTCCTCACTGCAGATCCTGTGTCCTTAACCACTGGGCCACAAGGCTGCTTAGAACACTGCCCTTTCCTTCCTTCCTGGTTCAGCTCAACCCCATCCTTGAAATGGACTAGCAGTCTCTCCATTTAATGGTCTCCTTGATTTTGGTCTCATGTCCATTAAATCCATCCTTTATACTCAGCCAGTGGGTAACTTAATAAACATCTCTGACAAAGCCATTCCCAGGCTCCAAGGAAAACTCAATCACTCTCAACTATTTACAAGAACGAAAGAAAAAAAAAAGAAAACCACTCTCTATGGAGCAGTGGACAAGGTCTTCCGTGATCCCTGCTTATCTCCTGAGCCCCACCTTCTCCTTTCCCCTTGTACTGCACCCCATAGTTATGCTAACCTGCTTGTCATTCCTTTACTGCAGATACCAGGATCCCCATCTCCGTGTTCTTGTGTAAGCTTCTCCTTTTCCCTGGAGCACCTGCTCCACTTTTCTTTCCTGGCCTTAATCTGCCTTTTTTCACCCAGACTCAGCCTAGACATCTTCCTCTCCAGAAAGCCTTTGCTGCATCCCAGGTGGGCTAGGTCCTCTGTGCTGTGAATTCCAGTCCTCTCTGTGCTACCCTGAGGACCATCACTTGTTCACCTGCCTGTGGCCTCCAGCCCTGCCCTCCAGTCCTGGCCTGGAAGTTCATTACACAGGGAGTAGGTCATTCTCTCCACGCACTCATGAGCAGTCTGTGGAAGGTCTTTAAATCGCTGTGTTTTGCTGACGACACGAACGCCTGACCACACCCTCTTACATATCTAACCTCAGATTTTCCATCAGTCCTGACACTGAAGATAGAAGGAAGTATTTGCCCCAGTGGCCTGGAGTTGTATGTACCAGTGGAAGCTGTTTCTTAGAGATGCAGACGAATGCTAGAATAAGAAAGCTTCTTCCTGCACATCAGCAAACTTCACACTGATCTCCTGGACAGTCCTAGAAAATGAGAAGGAACGTTTGAGATGATGCAGTCTACCTGTCAGTCTAGGGCTACTCTGACACACAGCTGGCAGCCAAGTCAAGGAATCCAGTCTTCCTCTGAAGACTATTTCAGGCTTGATCGTCATAAAAGTCAACTTAGGAAAATGGAGACATTTACCGTGATGCTGATAAGATGCAATATTGCAAAGATGTCAATTCTCTCCAAATGGTTCTATAAATATTTAATGCACTTCCAATCAAGACCCCAACAAAGTTTTTCATAGAACTTGACAAGCTAATTTTGAAACCCAGGTTGAAAAATTAATATCAAGAAAAACAAGATAATTAAAAGAACAAAAAAGGGAAGGGGATTTGTCCTCTCAGGTCCCTAATCAGAACATATTGTAAATGTCCAGTATTTAAAACAGTAAAATCCTGTGATATTGACTCATAAGTAGACGAACAAGTTGACAGACTAGAATACCAAGTCCAGAAATAAATACATATCATTTCCAGGCACATAATAGACACTCAATAAATATTTGTTGAGTCAATAAGCAAAGGTGGCATTTCACATCAACTAGGGTGGGATGATTGACTATTCATTGAGGGGGAAAAAAAACAGAGCTACATTCTACCAGTCACGGAAATCAATTCCAAATAGCTTAAAAACCTAAACATAAAATTATCCATAATACTTAGAAGAGACCACGGAATAATTTGTTAATGACCTTAGGACAGGGAGAGACTTCTTAAATAAATGATATACAGCAGAGGTTGGCTCACCACCTATTATTAATAAAAAAAAATTATAGGGACACAGCCACATCCATAGACAATGGTACGTATTTGTAAAGTGTGAGTGTCGTGAAGCACATCCGCCAACGCTGACCATGGGAAATAATTTGGGCAGCTGCTTTGGAGCCCAGTTTTTCAACTGCCATTACATCTTCAGCATGCATATCCTATGACCGAGCAATTTCTCTTCTCTGTGTCTAGAGAAATACCTGTGCTGTTGAACAAAGAGGTAGGTACAGAGATGCCCATTATAGCATTTTTTTTAAAAGTGAGAAATGAAAAAAAATCCCAGATTCCTATCAATGGGGGAATAGATTAATTGTGTTATAGTCAAATAAGTTGTACTGTAGTCATATGACAAGATGCGTTAGTTTAAAAGAATAGAATAAATTCTAATAGTCTTATGGGTATTGGGTGAAAAATGGAAGTTGTAATGTGATATATATACAGCATTTTATTTACGAAAACATACAAAAAACCATACATATTTTTATATAAGATGTCTATATCAATGTAAATTTATGGACATTCTCTAAAAGGTTAATGATTAACTATGAGGAGATGGTCAATTTTTTAAAGTAAGAATGGATTTATTTATTATTTGTGAAGTTAAAAATTCATTCCGACCAACAGCCCTGCTGGAATGCTCTCTCTGCCATGAAGCCTTGTGGTTCCGTCTGTCTGAATCCTTCCCTCCCGGGCACTGGCTGAACCGGGCATCTCTGTAGCAGCATATGCTATTGTCCATCTTGGAGTAGAGGTCATGGTATAAGGGTCTGTTTTCCCTTCCAGAATACAATCTCCCTGAGTCTAAGAACTTCATAGTGGACATTTTTTACTTTCTTTTCCAATCTTTGCTCCTTTCTGGCAACTCTCCGACTTAAGTCCAGCCCATACGTACATGACAGCAGTGCCCACCAGGAACTGTGCGTGTTCGTAGTGAGTCCCCGGACAACTGACCCAAGTTAGACCAATTAGCGTCCTTTTGTCAAAAATGAGGACCTGGGAGAGACTGGGAGTTAGACCTGGGGTCTGTCAACTGTCATGGTTTCAACTCTGAGGACAGGAGAAGCAGACAGAGCTGGTCTGAGAGAAGGAGAGAGAAGAAGAATGGAAAGACGTTTAGAGGGGAGCAGGAATATGAATCCTGCTGGCATTTGAGGACCCGACTCTGACTCGCTCCAGCAACACCTCTGCACCTTTACATAAAGGTCATCCCTGCATCTTTATAATAAATGCCCATTTTTGACTAAGATCTCCAGCTGGTCTCTGCTGTGTATAACCAGCAGAATTCTAACTAATAATGAGGGGCTGTTCACTTTTGTGTCTCCCACTGTACCTACCTCACCGCAGGGTTGGCTTCCTAGCAGACACTCAACAAACGTTTGCTAAATTGGACCAAACCAGGCACTTTTTTCCTCCTCTGGCATCCTCACAGGGGCTCACCCAGCCTCTGGTTGACACTTTCAGGGCTGCGAGCTCACCACCTCCCGGGACACCCCATCCCACTGACGGACAGCTCCAACACTTCCAAGTGGCCTCCACGAGGTCCTTTTCATCATGGCGACTCTGCAAACTTGGGAAGTCTTTCCTTTTCTGAGCCAAACATCCCCACTCTTCCCCTATTATTCCTCTTAAGAAACTCTTTCCAGAACTTTCTTTGCCTGATCAGACTCCTCAGGACAAATTCCTGTTGGTCAGGGTCTTTCTTAGAATGAAGTGCCCCGAATGGACTCTTCAGGCTTCAAGTTTTTGTGACCCATGTGCCGCAGGCAGAGTTGCAGGATGCCCCAAACTGACTTCACAGGGCTGAGAACTGGTAGGGGACTGTATTATTTTGCTGAGTATTTAAAAAATGAATGATCCTTTGTAGGGAACTATTTGGAAATTGCTTCAATATAGAAATGCTTTGCTATTAAACGTGAGTGAATATGAAATTTGTTAATATCCAGAATTTGGTTTGCTGATGTAAAGTCTTAAGTACAAAGTGTTACCATAGCACCAAGCACAGATCTCCCCAGTCAGTCCCACAGTCCCTCTGTGACTATGAATCACTTACACTTGATGGGCAGCTGCCATACCTCTAACTTGGAATTGAACTGCAGCCTCTGCAAAGGCAAGTGGAGAGCATGACTGCCAGAGCTGCCTGGGGCTGGGAGGATACCTTACAAGGGGTCGTCTAGTCTCATCCCTTCATTTTACAGATAAGCCGCCTTAAATCTGTTCTGGAGCAAGTGGGGCGCCAATGAATAAATACAATAAAGTAAACTGTACCTAGGAGGAAGCTAAGACTCAAAGCGGATAGGTGGCCAAGCCAAGAACATGTGTCAGGCTGGAGACAGAGCCAAGACCCATCCTTGCTGTCCACAGGGCTCTCCCTGCACCCAGCTTCTTGGGAGAGAAAGCCGGCAGCCTGCAGGGGCAGCCCCTCAGGAACGGAGAAGCTTCTCACCTCTCTGAGAATAGCAAGCGCAGACTAAAGGCCATTTGTTAACAGCCACCAATCTAGAAGCCACTGAACTAATCAAAGTTTGCGATTAGAGAGCATCCATCAGCCAGACGCCCACCCAGAACCAGCTTCCCGTCCTGCCTCCTCCCCGTGGGCGCACAGGAAGTCAGATCAATATTACAGTTCATTTCTCCCCTCTTCTTAAAGGTTGAATCTGTGGAACTGTAAGGGACAGTGATCGATTGGAACACAGTATGGGCTTCGTGTGCTTGTACACATCCCTTACCTTCTCCATAGACACTAGAATCTTACCTTCCCCTGCGGTAAGACTTAAGGAAACTGCACAAGTTGTGTCTCAATGCAGTGACCAAACAGAACATGTCATGCCCCTCTCTGATGACTTCTTCAAGCTCCAACATCTCTAGTCTGCAGAAGACAATTTATCTTATTTCATCCAGAGAACATCAAACCCTTTAATGACAGCCAACGTTGATTGCTCAGGGCAAACTGTGAAAGCTGCAGGCTATTTGCAGTGAAGAGTTGAGTCAGAGGAAGAGCTCAGGTCAGCTCTCTCCAAGTTGCCCAGTGTGGCTCAAGGGTGGCTGGAGACAAGCATGATCTCTGGAGATGAATTTAGATCGCTTTGGAATTCTAAGGATCTGAAACTTTACAGCCTCACTGAGAATGGAAAGAGATGAGAAAGACATTATGCGGGTCTTGGAAAACAACACGTGTAAATTACATAGCAGCTCACAATGGAAGTCACTGAGAAGAGAGATGTCAGCGAGAGAATGGGCCAGTTCTAGAAGGATTGGGCTACATGTCAAGCCTGAAGAATTCAACCTCTGAGAAACTCCGTGACTCTAGCCCTGCACCAGCCTCTTACCTCCTCATTGCCCCACCAGCATCTTTTCCAAATAGGACACCTCTTGAGTTAGCGGCTTTGCTCGGGTGCCCAGTTTCTGATGTCTTTCAGAAATAACGTTTATCTGGCTTTGAAGGTCTTATTCTGGGGACATTTCTTATTTTCCTTCTTTCTTCTTTCAGAAAGAAAGAAAGAAAGAAAAAACAGCAGCTCTGACTAGTCTGAGGGTGACACGAATGCCTGATTTTTATGCAATGTTGCAAGTGCCTTTCAACAACACAATGGCAGGTTCTTTGACAATGTCATGCGTCTATTCAAAACAACCGGCATGCCAGTCAGAGGCCTGGGCGTCTGCACAGTGCTTGTTCTCCGCAGTGATAAGGCATGTTAGATTTTCCCATTCTATTTGAGAAATAATTCTGGTCTTTTTTAAGTCTCCTGCTTTTTTGATTATTTTTTTTTCTTGCCTCTTTGCTGAACAATAGGACCTGTCCCTGTTTGATTCCGTCCGTGATGCCTGTGCGGTAGCAACTGGAGAAAGAGAGAAAAGGAGAGTGGGGACAGGGCTGGGGCTTGAGGGGGGAGAATGTGATGGCTTAACAGGCCCTGCCAGGTGCTGACCAAGAGAGAGACAGCATTAAGGAGGGGCTGGGAGATTAGCAGCGATAATTTCGTCGGGTCGATTTGTACAGCTTCTTTTGTGGGAAGCCAGGGTATGTAGGAGGATGGGTTAATTATCAGGCGGCCTGCTCCCTTGTCTGGTCTACCACAGCTAATCCTCTCTCCCCCTTTAGTAGGTGTGTGGAGCCAAGAATGAGAACGCCTGCTTCCTGACGCCCCTGGAAACATGATGGATAAAGGGAGAAAAAAGGAGAGCGGGGACAGGGTTGGGAGGGTGTGAAGTCAGCCAACTTTGCCAATGGAGAGAAAAAGACCCCAGTTACCTTCTGTTCCCAGCAGGGTCCCCAACTGGGACTTGCTGATTCCAGTTCTCATGTCTTCAGATAGACCTGCCCTACCATCTGGTGTTACCAGTTAGCTTTTGCTGTGTAATAAAATAAACCACCCCAAAACTCAGTGGCTTAAAACAACCATCATTTCTTTAGATCATGATTCTTTCTGGCAATTCTGATCCGGGCTGGGCTAGACTGATCGCGACTGGGCTCACTGACGCACAGATGGGTTGGCTGGGGTCTGGGCTGGCCCGGTGGCTCCAATCACACCCCTGGTGGTTGGTTAGGAGGGTAACAGGCCATGTGCCTCATAATCTAGTGGCCAGCTTGGGTAGCCGGGTTCCCAAAGTCTCAAGAGGGCAGCGACAGAAGCACGTATTTGGTCCTGCTAGGTCATGCGGGTTAACGTCTCATTGGCCAAAGGAAGTCATGTGGCCTATTCAGGTGGAGGAATGGAGAAAGAGACTCTCGGGTCCCACCTCTGCCAGCAAGGCCGGAGGGGAGGAATCATGGCCATTTTTCTTCTCATCTGCTCCACCCTGAACAGCCTTTTCCCTCTGGCCCCTCCTCCCCGACATGTACACTAGTATCTGATTTCCACACCAGGTTCAAAGCTTCAGCAGAGCTTCCTTCTCAAACACAACAGGCCATTACGCTCCTGGGATTCATTCTCCACGTTTCTGCAAACTCTTGCCTGTTGCCCTTTTGTTATTTCCCTTTGTCTCCGGGCAGAACTTCGGAGCTAGTCTCACCTCCCCATTTTGTGAGTGAGGACATTGTGGTCCTGAAAAGCAAACTAATTTGTGCACCATTAATTACCCTTCAGATCAGTGGGATACCGGAGACCACAGACTCTCAACTCTAAGTTGGGGCATCTAGCCCCCTCATCAGGTGCCCCATGAAAGTAAGGCAGGCCTCTCTCACCACCCAGAACGAAGTGGAAAACACCTCAAAGTGGTGTGTGAGTGTTTTGTGCTCTCTCCATTACCAGAAAAGGATTCAAAGTGATTTTCACAGCAAAACACAAAACAAAAAGGAAGAGGGATGGTCGGAAAGATGCAGGAGCTGAAGATGTTCTCAGGCTTCTGAAATGAGTCGATGACACCTTTTGGGCAGATTTACTCTGGGTTTTCTGGCAGCTGAGGCAAAAGAGGGATATTCACTGGGTTACACAGTGTTTTTTTTTTTTTTCTTCCCCTAACAAAAGAAAGCATACAAACTCAACTGTTGAATTTATTTTCACTGGCACAAAACATGAGTAGACATTTATTGGACATCTCTCTCTTTCTATAGAACGCTGAGCAGCATTTGGACAGCATCCTCCGTCATGGTTCCAGAAGCACATTAATTTGCTGTGCCCCTCCCCCCCCCCCGTGGTGCCCGGCGTGGTGTGCTGCCCACAGTGGGCGTTCAATCAATGCTGCGGGCTGATTGGCCAGTGGCATCTGCAGTTTTGACTCCACACCAGGAGCTGAGTTTCTAGCCCTGGGTGAGTGGATGGGGCTGTTTGGAAGGCTAAATTAATTGATTTAGTATTGACTGGGCTGCCAACTTCTGTCCAATATCTCTAGAATCCACAGATCTCTCAGTTGACAAAGCCCTTCAAATCCCATCTGGGTTTCGTGTAGGCAGCACAAATCTGTAAATCGCTGTGCAGACCAGACAGCGTTCTAGCCCCGACCCTACCATCTACTCATGAGTGGACTGAGAAGATTCGTTCCCGTCTCTGAAGCCCTGCCTGACCCCCTCCCCGATCCAGGTCCTCAGAGGATCAAGTGATGTGATAAACGCAAAACGTTAAATGTACAGATGTAAGGAATTAGTAATCCTCTGAGACTTGACTGAACTCTTCATCTTTCGTCTCAGGCCTGAAATATCTGATTCTACCCAAACCTTGCAACTTGTGGTAAGAAGCGTTAGAGGAAAAACGGAAATGAGGCGCGTTCCCAGCGATCAAACGACTGCTGTGGGATCTGGCGTCACTTTAGGGGTTAGGTGCTCGGGCAGCGGGATATGGGGGTGGAAGGTCCTTCCCCGGCCTAAGCTTGCGCTCCTGCGACATTAAAGCTCCTGCAACATTACCGTGGTCTGAAGCTGTGCTCTGCAACTGCCATGGGCATATGAATTCCCTGGGGTCTTGTTAAGATGCAGATTACGATCCAGTAGGTCTGGGGCGGAGTCTGGAAATTTACACCTCTAACAAGCTCCCAGGCCATGCCAATGCTGTTGGTGTAGGGATCACACTCTGAGTACAACTAGAGAGAAAAGGACCCACACCACACTGATGGGTGAGTGTGCTTACACGGTGTCAGGGTGAGCAGCTCAGAAGGTGTAGTTTGAGCAAGGAAGGCAGCTCTTCTAAGTCACAGATGCCCCTGAACCTCAGAGCAGGTGGGTTCAGGGGAGGGCTGAGCGTGTGGAGGGGGTGTATGCTATCCTTAACCTTGGATTTCAGGGTATGATGAGGTTGGAATGATGGGTTGAAATTTACGTTCTGCCTCTGGCTGGCCCACTTCAGGGTCTGAAGGGGGAGAGCTATTAATCAATCTGGATTCCCTCCATGTTAAACCAACAAATAAAATCACAGGGACTTCCTGTTTTCCAACCCCCTTCACGTATATTACCCCACTTAGCACAACC